TATGGTGTTGAAAAAGTCTGAATGTTTACTAGAATACATTTGGGAAATTGAAAATATAGCTGATAGTGACTTGCTCCCAAGAATTCGGACGATAAAGTTCATCGTACCATCAAAAATATCACAGCAACAAGAAGACATATACCCACAATATGAAGCTGGACAATTGATGGCATTTGAAGGAGCTGTTCCTGACTGGTACACCAAATATGTCTGGAGTAGTTGCAACATCCTGCCAGAAATGGCCAATCCGTTCGTAGGTTTTAATAAGAAAAAAACGGACGCGGTAGCGAGACAACTTCAGGTGTTCTTGGAAAAGCCACTGCTGGAAAAAGTTATCTTGCACACACAAAATATATGTGATGCATTAAAAGAACAATGCGAAAGAAATGTCTGGAAAAACAAGGATGAATACTTGAAAAGACTGATGTCTGACATTTATCAATATTTATGGAAAGATGGAGCTAAGCATGACTTACTTAATCGTCTTCGTCAGAAACCTATTGTGTATCTGCCATCTGAGAACAAATTTGTGACATGTGGAGTTCTTGTTATTCATTTAGAAGAAGGGCAAGAAATCAAACCATATCTTTACTCGGCTCCCTTGGAGTTTGGTGGGAACTTTGAACTGTTTGAAAAGCTGGGCACAGAAAAGAGACCCACATGTGCAACGTATGCTAGAGTATTGGAGCGAATCACACAAGATGTGAGGGATCAAGAACTGCATCCCAACGAGCGTCAGTCTGTATTGAAGGCTATTCATGGACTATTTTTACATTTGAAGTGTACGACAGACGATACTGATGTATGTTTGCAGGTACCTATCCTGTATCTTCCAACCGAAGACTACAAACTAATGGATTCCACGAAAATGATTTATTCAAATAACAATCTTTTCTATGAAGCAATAGGGAAGGATGCAGGCTTACCCTACTTTGTAGGTTTCCAATCACTAAAGCTATTTTATTTTGAAAGGGATATAGAAAAATTACCAGTGAAATATAGACCGCATATTTTGA